TATATGCACAACCCAAGGACACGGACAATGGTGGGGAGAGTGACTGGGGAGGGGGAAGGAACGGGGGGGAATGGGTCACTGGGGAGAAAAAGGGACATTTGTAATACTTTAAACAAAAATAAAAATTATAAAAAGTTAAAAAAAAATTAAAAAATAAAAATAAAAAATAATGTCATAGAAAAAAAATTAATGGAAATGGATCACAGATTTAAATGTAAAACTTAAAACTAAAAACTTTCTAGAAGGAAGTATAGGAGAAAATCTTTCTGACCTTTAGTTAGGCAAAAATTTCATAGATATTTACAAAATTAAGATTTATAAAAGAAAAAAATGATACATTAGCCTTCAAAACTTGAAACTTCTGCTCTTTGAAAAATATGGTTATTAAAATGAAAAGGCCCATCTGTGGGAGGGATTGACCCTTAGGCTGGTTGGCTATGAAGATTGATGCCAATCCCAGTGTAAGAGCTGCTGTGCAGGGGCTGACCCCATGAAGCAGAATTTACCCCAGCAGGGTCTGGTGCCTGTGGAGATCTCTCTTTGTGTGTTCTGCTTGTGGAGCAAATTGGGTCATTCTCTGATGTCTAAATCCCATCACCAGGTGCGTTTCTTTGGGGACCCTTGGGAAGGACTCCAGTGCAGGTCAATGTCAGATACTGCCTATGACTGGCTCTGGGCTACCTGTTAGGAACTACAAAGCAATCCATAGTTTGTGGCTGCCTCTGCTGGGTCTGGGTGCCCATGGGAGGGGCCAAGCTGCGTACCAATATCGGCTTCCACCAGTACCAAGCCTGGGGGCAGGTCAGCAAAAGGCTCAATGCACCCCGAGATCTGCCTCTGCCTACCTACCTGTTAGGGTCAGTCACTGAAACAGCCTCTGGGTGTATATCAGGAAGTTTCTCAATGAGTCACCAGGCAGGGGTGAGTTGTGTTCACTAGATTGATAGGAATTCAAACTTGGTGCCAGTGCTGTGTCTGAGGCCACTCAGCAAACTTCTCAGAGTACACAAGGCTAGTCACCACCCACCTGGGGCCTGAGAACCTTTGTGATGGAGTGAGGTCTCAGGGCATCGTCAGGGTAAGGTTAGCAGATTTCAGAATAAGATTTGTCCATGTGGAGGGAGGTCTCTGCACAGGAACAGTGGCAACAGTTGGGGTGTGAAGGTAAGGGGGGAATGTACCTCTTCAAGAGCTTTCCAAGAAAGACTTCGCTGTGGGCCCAGGCTGGCTGCAGACATCAGACTCCTCCACAGGGCATGAGTGTGGCAAGGTGGGGACACAGGGATTCAGGAGAGTGGGGTAGTACATCCCTCCAGGTTGCCGTGGCATGGAGGGGAGTGCACAATCCAGGAAATGGTGTCTGTGAGTAGTGTGGAAAAGGGACTCAGTACAGGGACAACAGCAGCTGTCCCTCTAGCCCTCTCCTGGAAGTCACATAACACAATTTCTTTCTCCCTGTACG